AACGGGGCATGAAATCAACTAGACCTTGAAAACAAATATGGACAGTCTCTACAAAGCCCTGATACCTGAAATCTTTCCATTTAAATAGAAAAGCAAGAAAAGACTAAGGAGGAAAATAAAGATTTTAAATAATGGTGGACTTGGATTCCATTCAAATTTCTGTTTAATGCATAAAACAGCATCACTGGCAGTTTGTAAAAGCACAAGCAGCAAAAACAGAGTCCTACAAAATAAGCACATATTCAAAACAAGGTACTGCAAAAAGTTGCCTGCATATTATAGAAGCCAAGCACAGAAAATAGGGAAGTCTGATGAATCTGGTATGCTTATATGTCCCCTCCTTTTTGCCACAAAGAAAGATAATCCTTAGTTTGCTTTCAGGCAAACAGATTGAAACTTCTGTCTCAGAAATAAAAAGAGCAAGCACAACAGCCTTGTTCCATTTACATAGGCTTAGAACTGTCAGCTGCACATTGGGATTCAAGACATAACTAGGTCTAACAAAGTTTGTATCTTTTTAAAATGTTCTCCTTTTTTTTAAATTATATTTTCACACTGTACGAATACAATTCAAAATATCTCCTTTGCATATAGTCAAAACTATTGCTATGGAATTAAGGTATAAGTAATTTTAATTTATGAAAAGCAAGAAGGAATTCTAGCATGGGTTTGGTCTTTTTTAAAATAACTGTTGGAAACTAGATGACTGTAATAGATGGATAAATTACTGCAAATATTTTCACCTGTAATATATTTTATTCAGTTATTTCAAGCATTATATTTCATTGTCTTTAAATCAATGAAAAATGAATGAACAGCTTTCTGTATTGCTTTAACACAGCAATGATTTCAAACACTGAACTCATAGTTTGTCTTACTTGAATAAATGAAAGCCATTACAAACCAGGTACAAATAATTTTAAAACTATTTATTTCCATAGAGACTGTCATCTTCCAAGAAGGGAAGGAATTCTGAAGAGTTCATCTTCTCCTTACTTGAATGTAAGTCCAGAAAACATTCAGATCTGACTCCCTAGCAGTTAACATTGGGATGGGGAGGCCTTGTTTTGTGGAGGTGAAGCACGTCCTTGGGTATGATCTCACAGTTCCTGTGCTCTGCACTCATTGCACACCTCTGCCTTCTCCTCTTGCATCCCACCTTGGAGCTACTTTGGAGGCAGCAGCCACAGGAGTCTGAAACACAGCACAGGTTTGTGCTTTGCATTTAAATTGTCCAGCAGACTGGTAAACCCCCATCAACTGTTTCTGGCTGAAATTTCAGGTAAGGTCACTCTTTTCTGGGTTTAAACATGACCAGGGAATTTTTTTCCTCTACAAAAGATTGCTGTGTGTGCTGGTTACACCTGGGAGGGGGAGGGGTGCAGAGTGAGAGAGGTTTTTCCTCTATGAGAACTTCCTCTGTGAGTTAATGGGAACAATTGTAAGCTTGTTTGGTTATTGACAGCTTGAGAAACCAATTGGAGAAAGTTAGTTCGCTCCGTGAAAACACATTTTGAAGGAGGTAACCCGGAAAGAGGCTCTCT